CCTCTTACGCGCACTCCCACGCGCTCTCTTACGCGCTCCCTCACGCGCTCTCTCACGCGCTCTCTCACGCGCTCTCTCACGCGCACTCTCACGCGCACTCGCTCTCTCACGCGCTCTCTCACGCGCTCTCTCACGCGCTCCCTCACGCGCTCTCTCACATGCAATCTCTTACGCGGTCCTTCACGCGCTCTCTCACGCTCTCTCACGCACTCTCTCACGCACTCTCTCACGCGCTCTCTGACACGTGCTCTCTCACGCGCTCTCTCACGCGCTCTCTCTCGCGCACTCTCTTGCGCATTCCCTCGGTCACGCACTCTTTCTCGCGCACTCCCACGCGCCTCTTACGCGCACTCCCACGCGCTCTCTTACGCGCTCCCTCACGCGCTCTCTCATGCGCTCTCTCACGCGCTCTCTCACGCGCACTCGCTCTCTCACGCGCTCCCTCACGCGCTCTCTCACGTGCTCTTTGATGCAATCTCTTACGCGGTCCTTCACGCACTCTCACGCGCTCTCTGACACGTGCTCTCTCACGCGCTCTCTCACGCGTTCTCTCACGCGCACTCTAACGCGCACTCGCTCTCTCACGCGCTCTCTCACGCACTCTCTCACGCCCTCTCTCACGCGCTCTCTGACACGTGCTCTCTCACGCGCTCTCTCACGCACTCTCTCACGCGCTCTCTCACGCGCACTCTCACGCGCACTCGCTCTCTCACGCGCTCTCTCACGCACTCTCTCACGCACTCTCTCACGCGCTCTCTGACACGTGCTCTCTCACGCGCTCTCTCACGCACTCTCTCACGCGCTCTCTCACGCGCACTCTCACGCGCACTCGCTCTCTCACGCGCTCCCTCACGCGCTCTCTCACACACTCTCTCACGCGCTCCCTCACGCGCTCTCTCACGCGCACTCTCACGCGTTCTCTCACGCGCTTGCGCTCTCTCACTCGCACTCTCACGCGCACTCTCACGCACACTCTCACGCGCACTTTCACACGCACTCTCACGCGCTCTCACACGCTCCCTCAACGCTCTCTCACGCACTCTCTCACGCTCTATCTCACACACTCTCTCACGCGCTCTCTCACGTGCTCCCTCACGCACTCTCTCACGCGCTCTCGCATGCGCACTCTCACGCGCTCTCTCACATGCTCTCTCACGCAATCTCTCATGCGCTCTCTCACGGGCTCTCACGCATTCCGTCGCACTCCCTCTCGCACACTCTCTTGCGCATTCTCTCTCTCATGCGCTCTCTCATGCACACTCTCTCGCACACTCTCACGCGCTCTCTCACGTGCTCTTGAATGCAATCTTTTACGCGGTCCTTCACGCGCTCTCTCACGCGCTCTCTCATGCACTCTCTCACGCACTCTCTCACTCGCTCTCTGACACGTGCTCAATCACGCGCTCTCTCACGCGCTCTCTCACGCGTACTCTCATGCGCTCTCGCTCTCTCACACGCTCCCTCACGCGCTCTCTCACGCACTCTCTCACGCGCTCCCTCACGCGCTCTCTCACGCGCACTCTCACGCGCTCTCTCACGCGCTCGCGCTCTCTCACTCGCACTCTCACGCGCACTCTCACGCACACTCTCACGCGCACTTTCACACGCACTCTCACGCGCTCTCACACGCTCCCTCACGCGCTCTCTCACGCACTCTCTCACGCTCTATCTCACACACTCTCTCACGCGCTCTCTCACGTGCTCCCTCACGCACTCTCTCACGCGCTCTCGCATGCGCACTCTCACGCGCTCTCTCACATGCTCTCTCACGCAATCTCTCATGCGCTCTCTCACGGGCTCTCACGCATTCCGTCGCACTCCCTCTCGCACACTCTCTTGCGCATTCTCTCTCTCACGCGCTCTCTCATGCACACTCTCTCGCACACTCTCACGCGCTCTCTCACGTGCTCTTTGATGCAATCTCTTACGCGGTCCTTCACGCGCTCTCTCATGCGCTCTCTCACGCACTCTCTTGCGCACTCTCTCATGCGCTCTCTGACACGTGCTCTCTCACGCGCTCTCTCACGCGCTCTCTCACGCGCTCTCTCACGCGCACTCTCACGCGCACTCGCTCTCTCACACGCTCCCTCACGCGCTCTCTCACGTACTCTCTCACGCGCTCCCTCACGCGCTCTCTCACGCGCACTCTCACGCGCTCTCTCATGCGCTCGCGCTCTCTCATGCACTCGTGCTCTCTCACTCGCACTCTCACGCGCACTCTCACGCGCACTTTCACACGCACTCTCACGCGCTCTCACACGCTCCCTCACGCGCTCTCTCACGCACTCTCTCACGCTCTATCTCACACACTCTCTCACGCGCTCTCTCACGTGCTCCCTCACGCACTCTCTCACGCGCTCTCGCATGCGCACTCTCACGCGCTCTCTCACATGCTCTCTCACGCAATCTCTCATGCGCTCTCTCACGGGCTCTCACGCATTCCGTCGCACTCCCTCTCGCACACTCTCTTGCGCATTCTCTCTCTCACGCGCTCTCTCATGCACACTCTCTCGCACACTCTCACGCGCTCCCTCACGTGCTCTTTGATGCAATCTCTTACGCGGTCCTTCACGCGCTCTCTCACGCGCTCTCTCACGCACTCTCTTGCGCACTCTCACGCGCTCTCTGACACGTGCTCTCTCACGCGCTCTCTCACTCGCTCTCTCACGCGCTCTCTCACGCACTCTCTCACGCGCTCCCTCACGCGCTCTCTCACGCGCACTCTCACGCGCTCTCTCATGCGCTCGCGCTCTCTCATGCACTCGTGCTCTCTCACTCGCACTCTCACGCACACTCTCACGCACACTTTCACACGCACTCTCACGCGCTCTCACACGCTCCCTCACGCGCTCTCTCACGCACTCTCTCACGCTCTATCTCACACACTCTCTCACGCGCTCTCTCACGTGCTCCCTCACGCACTCTCTCACGCGCTCTCGCATGCGCACTCTCACGCGCTCTCTCACATGCTCTCTCACGCAATCTCTCATGCGCTCTCTCACGGGCTCTCACGCATTCCGTCGCACTCCCTCTCGCACACTCTCTTGCGCATTCTCTCTCTCACGCGCTCTCTCATGCACACTCTCTCGCACACTCTCACGCGCTCTCTCACGTGCTCTTTGATGCAATCTCTTACGCGGTCCTTCACGCGCTCTCTCATGCGCTCTCTCACGCACTCTCTTGCGCACTCTCTCATGCGCTCTCTGACACGTGCTCTCTCACGCGCTCTCTCACGCGCTCTCTCACGCGCTCTCTCACGCGCACTCTCACGCGCACTCGCTCTCTCACACGCTCCCTCACGCGCTCTCTCACGCACTCTCTCACGCGCTCCCTCACGCGCTCTCTCACGCGCACTCTCACGCGCTCTCTCATGCGCTCGCGCTCTCTCATGCACTCGTGCTCTCTCACTCGCACTCTCACGCGCACTCTCACGCGCACTTTCACACGCACTCTCACGCGCTCTCACACGCTCCCTCACGCGCTCTCTCACGCACTCTCTCACGCTCTATCTCACACACTCTCTCACGCGCTCTCTCACGTGCTCCCTCACGCACTCTCTCACGCGCTCTCGCATGCGCACTCTCACGCGCTCTCTCACATGCTCTCTCACGCAATCTCTCATGCGCTCTCTCACGGGCTCTCACGCATTCCGTCGCACTCCCTCTCGCACACTCTCTTGCGCATTCTCTCTCTCACGCGCTCTCTCATGCACACTCTCTCGCACACTCTCACGCGCTCTCTCACGCGCTCTTTGATGCAATCTCTTACGCGGTCCTTCACGCGCTCTCTCACGCGCTCTCTCACGCACTCTCTCACGCACTCTCTCACGCGCACTCGCTCCCTCATGCGCTCTCTCACGCACTCTCTCACGCGCTCCCTCACGCGCTCTCTCACGCGCACTCTCACGCGCTCTCTCACATGCTCGCGCTCTCTCAGTCGCACTCTCACGCGCACTCTCACGCACACTCTCACGCGCACTTTCACACGCACTCTCACGCGCTCTCACACGCTCCCTCACGTGCTCTCTCACGCACTCTCTCACGCTCTATCTCACACACTCTCTCACGCGCTCACTCACATGCTCTCTCACGCAATCTCTCATGCGCTCTCTCACGGGCTCTCACGCATTCCGTCGCACTCCCTCTCGCGCACTCTCTTGCGCATTCTCTCTCTCACGCCCTCTCTCATGCACACTCTCTCGCACACTCTCACGCGCTCTCTCACGCGCTCTTTGATGCAATCTCTCACGCGGTCCTTCACGTACTCTCTCACGCACTCTCTCACGCGCTCTCTCACGCGCTCTCTCACGGGCTCTCATGCACTCCCTCACATGCTCTCTCTCGCGCACTCTCTTGCGCATTCCCTCTGTCACGCGCTCTTTCTTGCGCACTCCCACGCGCTCTCTCACGCGCACTCCCACGCGCTCTCTTATGCGCTCTCTGACGCACTCCCTCACACGCTCTCTCACGCGCTCTCTCACGCGCTCTCTCACGCGCACTCTCACGCGCACTCTCACGCGCACTCTCACGCGCACTCGCACTCTCACGCGCTCCCTCACTCGCTCTCTCACGCGCTCCCTCACGCGCTCTCTCACGCGCTCCCTCACGCGCTCTCTCACGCGCACTCTCACGCGCTCTCTCACTCGCACTCTCACGCGCACTCTCACGCGCACTCTCACACGCACTCTCACGCGCTCTCACACGCTCCCTCACGCGCTCTCTCACGCACTCTCTCACTTGCGCCCTCACGCGCTCTCTCACGCGCTCTCTCACGCACTCTCTCACGCGCTCTCGCACGCGCTCTTGCATGCGCACTCTCACGCGCTCCCGTGCACACGTTCCCCCTCGCGCTCCTCTTCTTTAAATAGAAGTGCAATGCAAGAGGAAACGAATTGACTAACAAAATTTACAAGGCGAGCAGAGAAGTAAAATATAGGGGGAAATTTCAGAAGGGGGCGGGAGGATTAAAGGACCGAGAACGCACCTAATAATCAGAATGCCTCAGAAAACAACCCTCGCTGGCGCACCAACCCGCGCTCGCGCACCAAACAGCGCTCGCGCACCCTTCCGAGCTCGCGCATCGACCCGCCCTCGCGCACCAACTCGCGCTTGCGCTCGTGCACCTGTCGCCAGAGGCGACGGAAGGGAGGAGGGAGAGGCGACGACAGGGAGGAGGGAGAGGCGACGGCGGGAGGGAGGGAGAGGCGACGGCGGGGAGGAGGGAGAGGCGACGGCGGGGAGGAGGGAGAGGCGACGGCGGGGAGGAGGGAAAGGCGACGGCGGGGAGGAGGAGAGGCGACGGCGGGGAGGAGGGAGAGGCGACGGCGGGGAGGAGGGAGAGGCGACGGCGGGGAGGACGGAGAGGCGACGGCGGGGAGGAGGAGAGGCGACGGCTAGGAGGAGGGAGAGGCGGCGGCGGGGAGGAGGGAGAGGCGACGGCGGGGAGGAGGGAGTGGCGGCGGCGGGGAGGAGGGAGAGGCGACGGCGGGGAGGTAAGGGAGAGGAGATGGCGGGGTGGAACGGAGTGATTGTGAGGTGGGAGAGAGAGGCGATGGCGGAGTGGGAGGGAGAGGTGACGGCGGAAAGTGAGGGAGAGGATACGGGAATGGGAGGGAGAGCGACGGCTGGGTGGAAGGTACTAGCGACGGTGGGGTGGGAGGAGAAATAGCTAGAGAAGAAAGTAGCGAGCAAGAACGGAACCTCAGGAGGAACCAAGAACGGAATCAAGAAATGAAGAGCGTCGAAATCGAGTTTGACAGCTGTGAAAGGGATGGATACCTTGGGCTTGGTTGGTTTGTCGTGGAGCTGGAGATAAATTTTCTGCCAGCGCAGAATGAGGCACCGAAACTTTTCTCTATTCATAGAAGTATGAGCACAAGGGCGAATGGCAAGCTTAAAACCGGAGGTCCAAGAGTTTCAAAGTTAGGAAGGTTGGTTGGGCAGAGAAATACAATTGGATGACGAGGAGGTTGGGTTCACGAATTTGTCTAGGGATGTTCGCCCGTCTGGAGATTTCGTCATTGTTACCACAATTGCTGTGCGACACTAACTCCAATGTCAAAACATCGCCAGACACACTCTGCGACCAGAACGTTGCCAATGGCAGAATATGTGCAGCGGCAGCAACAACTACGTGAAAGTTAGCTGAATCCAGTAACTCAGCTAGTAAACTCACATCATTCGCAGCAAATATTTGCAGGTCCCATCCAGCAACTTAGTAGTGGTGCGGATCATATCCCCACATCTCATCCACATCCTCCCACTCCAGATCTTCCATGTCTCCTCTTTCCTCCTCTCCCCCCACGCCAACCGCATCTCTTTCCCCCACGGTGGGTACACCTTCCTCCCCTCCTTGCCCTCCCACTCCACCCCCGTTCACTGGAACATCAACCGTAGTTGAGGGAGAAGTGGCAACCATGCTGACTCTTTGTCTCTTATGCGGCCTCCCATCCGTACTTACTTGTGCCTCCCCTCCCATTTCTCCCGCCCCGCATCCCTTTCCCACTCCGCTGACTTGTTGTCGCAGCCGCAACACCTTACGCATGTCTGGGTGTTTCCATTGTGCAGCAGTGGCTTTCAGCTTCTTGAAAGGAATGCGTTTGAGTAATCCACACACAGCGCTAACAAGATCCTCTTTTGTGGGTTTCTTTGGTAGGCGACCCTTGTAACCCACCTCGGAAAGCCACGCGGAAAGGTGCTGGGGAGTAACATGCCACAAATCCTCAATCGTTTCGCACTCGGGAACGCGAAGAGATGGCTTCTTTGCCTCGATGAAGTCTTTGACAAACCGCCTGGTCAAATTCCGACCCTTGTGCCACACATCCATCTGATGGTTTATCTCTTTTCCTATGATTGCCGCTTTGAACGAACCCCCTTCATCAGAAATGATGCCCTTAACCACGAAACCAAGTTGTTTCAACTCATCTAAGCCTCGCTCAAATGCAACTTTCTCGAGTTGAGTGGACGACCCACCTACAATCTGTTTGGACACCGTGACACAATGCAAGACCTGCCTTGTAATCCGATCCATGAACGACACAGTGCACCAAGCTCCCTCTTGTGCCTTGTCCCACCGACCATCAACACAAATCCACTCCCCAAGAATCATCCTTCGACCCATTTGTTCTCTCACAGCCTCCATTGACTTGGATGCTTGTCTCCGTATGCTACACCACAGGCCGTTCTCTCCATCCATGAGACGATAAAATGTCTGCTTACTGGGTATCCTGATACCCAGCGTGCGACTGACCTCCCATAGAGCTTGAAAGCCTAACCCCGCAAGCGAAAATGCACCCATGAATCGCTGCACCATGGGAGGGGTCCTGGGACCACGACTTCCTGGCCCTTCATCACTGGTGTACCGTTTGGTGGACCAGAACTCAAGAGAGCCGCCACACTGATCACATCTCCATGCCAGTCCAAGACACGACCACACTTGCCACCACGAGCGTAAGCGCATTCTACCGTTGCAACTGGGCCGAGCAGCGCAACACAAACAGAGGGTCATGAAGAATTGCACGATCAACAGTGGGTCCAGAAGACATACCAGGTTGCCTGAAAGCTGAGCTAGAGTTGGGGATTCAGGCCACCCAGGTGGGGCTCTCGTTGTCACATGCGCCCTGTAAAAAACCCACAAGAGTTGAAACGAAAGAACATATAATAGGACAATATGATGGACAATGCAATCCAATCAACATATGACTTTTATGTTATGGGCATAGAATGCAAGCCTCTCAACCCACACATGGAGACCAATATAACTTTAGTATGGACGGTGGAGGGTTTACATACACACCCCGCACTCATGCGCATGGAGTGCCACATTCTCAACCATTTAAGCGTGGGCTGAGGTGTGTTGCAACACGTTCGACATACCTGGCCTGAGGACACCCCTCCTCGAGCTCGTGCAACCGAACCCCCTCGTCAGTTGGAGGCTCCTGTAGAAGACCCTCAACCCCATCGCCTTCCTCCAGTGCTGTTCCGGCCACAACGTTCCCTTCCGGCACTCCAACCCCTTCTCCCAGCCCTGTTCTCATCCCAGCGCTTTCTTGACCTCCCATTCCTACCCCCACCCCTACCTCCAAGGACGTTCCCATCCCAGGGCATTCTCCCCCCCGCCCCCCTTCCTCCAGTACCGATCCGACCCCCACCTCTTCTGGCCCAGTTCCCCCTTCTCCCAGCCCTGTTTTCATCCCAATGCCTTCTTGCCCTCCACTTCCAACCCCCACCCCTATGCCCTGGACCTGAGCCCCCCCCCCGTCCCCCCACCCTGTCTTCACATGATGTTTCGTCCAGATCCTGATCTTGTCCCCCCACCCCTACCTCCTGGGTTATTCCCGCCCCAGCGCATCCCCTCCCCCTCACCCCTTCCTCCAGCATTGCTCCTACCCTCACCCCTTCCGACTCCGCTCCCACTTCCTCCAGCCTTGTTCCCATCCCAGTGCCTTCTTGCCGAGCAGTTCCACCCCCCAAGGACGTTCCGACCCCATGGCCTTGCTGCCCCCCCAGCCCTTCCTCTAGCCCGTCACACTGATCGCGGTGGTCGGTTGGGGGCAGGTCTTCCATCAGATCGGCATCACACTCACGGATGGGCAGTAGGTCCTCGGTGAGCTCAAAAACCGTCTCCTCCGCAGGTGCTGCCAACCCCAGCCCATCCTCACTTGCGAGCGGTCCGTCGCGCTGCCCTCCTGCCCAGAACAAGGGTGAAAAATTGCTACACAATTGTTGTGAATTGAACCAACCGCAAATCATTTGCGCCCCGACATCGACACACCCAAGACCACATGGCAAATTTGCACAGTGACATGCAATCGTAGACGACACCGCATTGGGCAACCTTTAGAGTAGCTGTTCTCACCCGAATTCTTCAGTGCCTCGTACTTGGGCCCACGGCGAGCTCCCCCGTGGTTGAACTTCCCAGGCACTTGTATCTTTGCGTCGGTGTTGATGAAGCACGGTGCAAACCCATACGTCACCGATTCTATCCGCTGTGGTGTCTTAGATACAAGCTCTGCCACATTCCCGACGGCATCCTTATCATGGTAGTGGAGCGCCTGACCGTGTGCCGCCAGACGCATGCGTGCAATCGACGCAGCTGTTTTGCCGTCCGTTCCTGGGAGTCGTGCAGGTGGGGCAAACAGAATTACGTCACAATGCAGCTCATTGTGAGGAAAGGCGGCCTCGTCGTCTCACATTGGACTCATGTGCAACAGAACACTTTGTCTAGCGTCGCACTCTTAGACGGGGAATATCGATATGCGCTCACTCTTAGCCACAGAACTCACCGTTCTTTGCTGCCACAGCCATAAGTCTGTTCGTGAGGTGTGGCGCAGCCAACGTGTAAAGGTAGAACAAGTCCCCGCACGAGGCTTCTCGTTTCCCACCGAAAATGATTGTAGCTCCGCTTTGCAAGAGAGCGATCGGCTCTTGCATATGCCTTGATATTGGATGCTGGGGGGTCCTATGCTTCTTCGCGATGTGACCAACGAGTTGTGCCATCACGCTTGCGTGCTTAGCCCTCCTTCCCCACGACTGTCAGCAGCGGGAAATGGGGTGAATCAAGGGGGACAGAGAGAGAGCAGCCCTGAAATGGGGTGAATCAAGGGGGACAGAGAGAGAGCAGCCGGGAAATGGGGTGAATCAAGGGGGACAGAGAGAGAGCAGCCCTGAAATGGGGTGAATCAAGGGGGACAGAGAGAGAGCAGCCCTGAAATGGGGTGAATCAAGGGGGACAGAGAGAGAGCAGCCGGGAAATGGGGTGAATCAAGGGGGACAGAGAGAGAGCAGCCCTGAAATGGGGTGAATCAAGGGGGACAGAGAGAGAGCAGCCCTGAAATGGGGTGAGTCAAGGGGGACAGAGAGAGAGCAGCCGGGAAATGGGGTGAATCAAGGGGGACAGAGAGAGAGCAGCCCTGAAATGGGGTGAATCAAGGGGGACAGAGAGAGAGCAGCCCTGAAATGGGGTGAATCAAGGGGGACAGAGAGAGAGCAGCCGGGAAATGGGGTGAATCAAGGGGGACAGAGAGAGAGAGCAGCCCTGAAATGGGTTGAATCAAAGGGGACAGAGAGAGTGCAGCCCTGAAATGGGGTGAATCAAGGGGGACAGAGAGAGAGCAGCCCTGAAATGGGGTGAATCAAGGGGGACAGAGAGAGAGCAGCCGGGAAATGGGGTGAATCAAGGGGGACAGAGAGAGAGCAGCCCTGAAATGGGGTGAATCAAGGGGGACAGAGAGAGAGCAGCCCTGAAATGGGGTGAATCAAGGGGGACAGAGAGAGAGCAGCCGGGAAATGGGGTGAATCAAGGGGGACAGAGAGAGAGCAGCCCTGAAATGGGGTGAATCAAGGGGGACAGAGAGAGAGCAGCCCTGAAATGGGGTGAGTCAAGGGGGACAGAGAGAGAGCAGCCGGGAAATGGGGTGAATCAAGGGGGACAGAGAGAGAGCAGCCCTGAAATGGGGTGAATCAAGGGGGACAGAGAGAGAGCAGCCCTGAAATGGGGTGAATCAAGGGGGACAGAGAGAGAGCAGCCGGGAAATGGGGTGAATCAAGGGGGACAGAGAGAGAGAGCAGCCCTGAAATGGGTTGAATCAAAGGGGACAGAGAGAGTGCAGCCCTGAAATGGGGTGAATCAAGGGGGACAGAGAGAGAGCAGCCCTGAAATGGGGTGAATCAAGGGGGACAGAGAGAGAGCAGCCGGGAAATGGGGTGAATCAAGGGGGACAGAGAGAGAGCAGCCCTGAAATGGGGTGAATCAAGGGGGACAGAGAGAGAGCAGCCCTGAAATGGGGTGAATCAAGCGGGAAAGAGAGAGAGCAGCGGGACATGGGGTGAATCAAGGGGGAAAGAGAGAGAGCAGCGGGACATGGGGTGAATCAAGGGGGAAAGAGAGAGAGCACGGGGGGAGTGGGGTGAACCAAGGGAGATAGAGAGAGAGCAGCGGGAATTGGGGTGAATCAAGGGGGAAAGAGAGAGAGCAGCGGGACATGGGGTGAATCAAGGGGGAAAGAGAGAGAGCAGCGAGGACATGGGGTGAATCAAGGGGGAAAGAGAGAGAGCAGCGGGGACATGGGGTGAATCAAGGGGGAAAGAGAGAGAGCAGCGGGGACATGGGGTGAATCAAGGGGGAAAGAGAGAGAGCAACGGGGACATGGGGTGAATCAAGGGGGAAAGAGAGAGAGCAGCGGGGACATGGGGCGAATCAAGGGGGAAAGAGAGAGAGCAGCGGGGACATGGGGCGAATCAAGGGGGAAAGAGAGAGAGCAGCGGGGACATGGGGCGAATCAAGGGGGAAAGAGAGAGAGCAGCAGGGACATGGGGCGAATCAAGGGGGAAAGAGAGAGAGCAGCGGGAAGCGCAATGCGTGAAGGGGAGTTGCTGGATGCTGGGGAAGGGAAGGTGGGCGGGCTGACAACAGGGAATGTGCGCGCGTGGGGAAGGGAATGTGCGCGCGTGGGGAAGGGAATGTGCGCGCGTGGGGAAGGAAGTGTGCCTTCGTGGGGAAGGGAATGTGCGCACGTGGGGAAGGGAATGTGCGCGCATGGGGAAGGGGATGTGCGCGCGTGGGGAAGGGGATGTGCGCGCGTGGGGAGGGGGATGTGCACGCCTCGTGGGGAAGGGGATGTGGGCGCGCTGGGGAAGGGGAATTGCTCGCGGTGGGAAGGGAATGTGCGCGCTCTGGGGAAGGGAATGTTTGCGCGCGGGCGGAGTGCAGTTGCGCGCGCTAGTGAAGGGAACGTGCGCGCGATGGGGAAGGGAACGTGCGCACGCAGGAGGGGGGCATGTGCGGGCGCTTGGGAGGAGAGTGTTTGGGCGATTGTGATGGGATTGTGCGCGCGATTGAGAAGGGACTCCTCCTGTCCTGGCGCTGCGGAAAGGAATATCCGGGCGCTGCGGAACGGAATGTCTGGGCGCACTGTGTGGGCATGTCTGGGCGTTGGAGAAGGAAGTATGAGGGTGACGCAGACCTGGAATGGCATGGCGACGCGGAGGAATAGGGAGGGCGGCGCGCAGGGACTGTGAGAAGGATGGGAGAAGATTATACCGGCTTATGCGCGCAGAAACGTGGGCTGAGGTCTTGAAAGGTGGAGCTCTACCCTGGTCGACGCGGAGTGTGATTACGCGGCGCGTGTAGGCCTGCACAAACCCTATCTTTTGCTGGCTCTGAAGGCCGTCACTTCCTAGCCATGCGTGAAAGGTGCGGGCTTTTTAGCAATCAGGTCGTTTCTGTGGAGTGGAGATGCCACATTTGCTGCGCCAGGATGTGGGCTATAGCCTAATATTCCGGAAACTAACCCTACAACCAACGGGTCCCTTCCCGTTGCGGAGTCGTAAAAGAGCTGGCGCTATCAATGTGTTGACTAAGATGGCAAGGGACTTAGGATATGGCGTATTAGCTTCTAATCGCAGCTCGATTGAGCGTTCGAAGTCCCAATTTGTTCCCCGCTGAATTCAGGCTTCCTGCTTTTGGTGCATGTGCGATTGTTTCAGGTGAGTGCGAGGGTCGCTGCTACAGTTGTTTGATTGTTGTGCGATAGCTTCTGGTGGTTTCGGGTGTCGCGCCAACAGTGATTTCGGTTGACGAACTTTCGAAAACAGGCAGGGCCTAGTGATTCAGTGGGACTGAGCTGCAACAGGGTAACACCCTTTCAAAGTTAGGAAGCTTGAGGCACTTTGGGGCTGTTTGGGACTCCGGTTTTAAACAAAACCTGGGCACTTGGCAAAAAAACGCTCACACTAGACTTCGAAGCTAGTGTTACGTGGAAACACATGCGCGACACGCCATCCAACTAGCTGACACTTCAGATACGTGAGAAGATTTGAACAAGAATGAATGAACTATGAATGAAGTGAGTACATATAGGAAACCATAATTGGGTTGTACCCCCTATGGGATACCCCACTATAGCCTACACAACTGCATAAGCTATATATATGTTCTGACACACCCCCATAGGCAAAGTGGGGGAGAACAAGGGGTCACAAGACCAGTCACGCAAAGCACAGCAAGCTCAGGGTGGATCACAAAGTCACCACACAGTCCGAGCACAACGACAAGGCCACAAGGCCAGTTCACATGCAGGAGTGCACATATATATATAGAGCTAGACAAGCAAGAGCAGGTATATATATGTGACAGTACAAGCAAGGTCAAGAGGAGAGCAAGTGAGGCAAGACAGGTACAAGACCCAGCTGAGTGCAGAAGCGCTGATGGTCACAAGGCGCAAGTGCCTTGGTGAACACATCAGCAGTGTTGGCCTCAGAGGCCACGTACGCAAGTCGCAACTGACCACGCTGCTGCAGCTCACGAGCAAGAAAGTAACGAAGAGCAATGTGCTTCGTTCTGTGCTCCAAGCGCTGCTCTCGACACAAGGCCAGCATGGCCTTGTTATCTACGTACAGCACTGGAGGAGAACGAGGCGGCTCTCCAAGGTCAGTCAGCACGTAGGTGAGCCAGCGAAGCTCCTGTGCAGCCATGGCCCCGGCGTAGATCTCAGCCTCACAACTGGAGCCGAGAACAGAGGACGAGCAAGTAGCCCGCCACGAGACAGAGCCGGAACCAAGACTGAAGGTGTAACCCTGCGACGACCGCTGCGTAGCCTGGTCGTCAGCCCAAGAAGCGTCCGCGTGCCCAGTGAGGACCACTGGACTCCGCCCTCCAAGCACTAGCCCCATGCCCGACGTACTGCACAAGTAGCGCAACACCCTCTTCGCTGCAGCCATGTGCTCTGGTCGGTGTCTCCCAGGAGCAACATAGCGTGCAAGAATGCTAAGAGGGTATGCAAGGTCAGGTCGTGTGCAGGTCATCAGGTACATGAGGCAGCCAACAAGCTCTGGGTACGGGCCACTCGACTCTACGGACTCATCCGAAGGCAGAGCTGAGAGCGAGTGGCGAGTAGACAGAGGAGTGGCCTGAGGCGAGGAGTACGTGAAGCCGAAGCGCTGAAGGACCTGCTGCACCATGTGTGACTGAGTCAAGGTAATGGTGCGGCGTGCTCTGTCCCGAGTGATCTGCAAGCCAAGGTAGCTGCGCAGTTCACCCAGGTCTGTGCACGTGTGTCTCTTCTGTAGCTCGGACTTC